GTTGGCAGTCAGGTCTTAAGAAGGCATTGCCAGGTACAGTAGGGACAGACAAAGTGAAACCAGAGGTTTAGAAAACAAGATGTCTGAAGAGAATGTGCAGTGCTTTGTGTGATATAATACCCCAAACTACACACATACAGAAATATGATTTGTATATATGCCAGGATAATCTATTCTACTGTTTCACACAACCCACAAAAGGTAGGTGGTTCCTCATAGTATATCGGGTAATATCTTGACAATTTATTATCATTAATTCTAAAGAGTGTATGTATGCCATGGGTGGTGCTTAGTGTAGAACTAGAGTAAGATTCTTTGTGCATCAGAGCACCCTGTGTTATGTGTGCAGAGTCAGACCCAGACTGCAATCAGTAGACTGAGCTCACACACTTCTTTGACTTTGTTTGATATTTATAACGCTAAGCTTCATCTTATCTCATCTCACATCAACCTATGTGTGGTTTTATTTTAAGAAGAGTGAAATGTGAACGTCTTTGCTGTCAGCTTGCTTGGAATTTTGATAATTTTCATTCTGTGCTTGATTTCGGACAACACTAACTGTTTATTTCCCTTAGGTGTTAGATGTCCCCTCTGGAAAGCTATTGGCTTCTCTACAGGGCCATACAAAGTCAGTGTTTCACTGCCAGTTCATCCAGAATGGCCAAAAGCTCATCACATCCTCTGAGGACACCACTATCCGTGTGGGTTACTCCTGCTCTTTTACTTTTATTTCTCTCTGCAGCCATTCCCTTCCATTCTGCTGTACATTAGAGCTTGTCTTGGGTCATTAATCACTCAAACCAACAGTAAAACTAATGCACAGTTTTAACCATTTCTCCACATGTCGGCTTCACATTTCTCTCTGCTATTGATTACCCTTTTCCTTCCTATTACTCACCTTGACAAAACTGCTTGCTCTGCCAAACTGCTTATCCATTCAGTGTGTCCAACCTTTATTGTTCCTCACCTGTTACTCTGAGCTTCCTTTGTTAGCTTTCCTCCTCATCACTTGCCTCGTGCAGTGCCCACTGTGAGTTCATGTACTGTCTGTTTTGTGCCCTGCACCCTCCACTCTTCATGCTCTGTTGATCACACCCCCCCTGTCTTTTTACTGTTCACAGACATGTCCACTGCAGCACATTTCAGCTCCTCATTCTAAATTCAGACAGCTCACAGCTTTTTCTTTTTTTTCATGCATGCATACGTGCAAAGAAGAAGAAAGAATCAATGCTACACTTCACAATGAGCTGTATCAATATCACAAAATGGCAATATTACTGCCATATATATAATATATTATATCACATTACCGTTATTTTCACCATAAAAAATTAATCTGTATTACATAAACAAGTAAGATTTCTTAATACAATGAATCACATTTAGAACTACATAGTGTATGTGGCTGGTACAAAGTGTAGAAAAATGTGTTTTTGCTTTTCTGCAGATGTGGCACTGGCAGTCAGGGGAGTGTAAAGTACTACAGGGCCATAAGGAGCAAGTCAGAGGTTTCTCAGTGCTCTCCAACTCTCCCTCAAGGTTGTTGTCCTGGTCTTTTGATGGCACGGTCAAGGTACTTCCTGTCAAATATTTGATGTTGATAATTTTGTGGTTGAAGACCCTAAGCTCTATATCTGGTTTGTGCTAAAGGTATGGGACATGGAGAGTGGACAAAGGCTACAAGACATAGAGGCTCACAGAGGAGCCATTCTGTCCTGCCACATGTCCCCAGATGGATCCCTGTTCACTACCACCTCTGCAGACAAGACTGTCAAGGTGAAATACAAATACACTATAAATCTGCTGCACTTGAAACATATGAAACTTTGTAAGATTAGCATGCAGCCGAAGCTCTAGACCTGCTGTGTTACCTGCAGGTCTGTCTGTTTGCCTATGCCCACGCCCCTCATTCCTCACTGGCCTCTCCACAGCCTTCTCACCCTCTGTCATTAATGGAGCTGGCCTTGACTTTGACCTGACTTTGAGTCACTGAACTTTAAAAGTGTTTTTAAATTTATTCTCCTTATATATGTAGTATCAGTAATTGGGTACTATGCTAGGGATGAAGAAGTAGTAATCCATTTAAATAGTTTTTGTCCTGGTTTTGTCCTTGGATGGCTGGTCGCTGTCCAACATTAGAGACATGAATAGCAAAATCCTCAACAGATTTATTAGGGAAGTTGGACATTAGTAAGGCTACTGTGGAGAATATCCTCTGAAATGGCTGCCAAACTGACTTGAGTAGTGGATTGCATGTGTAGAGACAGGAAAATGGATTTTGCCATCCAGACTTAGCATGGCATTGGTACATACAGGTATATCTGATATTGAGAATGAGCAAACAAAAAAGCCTTTTCTTCTTTTTATTCATTTCCAAATCATCAGGGCACAGTATGGACTTAGTTCTGCACTCAATTTGGGGCCCCCTTATGAGCTTTTGTTTTATATGTGTTTTTATTTTTATTGAAGAGTGAATGACAGTGGATAATCTACATGTACACAAAACTTCTTCAATTAAAGTTGCATTTGAAAAATATAAACAACGTGAGATATTCATATTTGTATGCACACACATTTCTGTTTTTTGTGATCTTTTAAGTTTCTGTAATTTCTGAATCCCCCAGGTGTGGTGCTGTGAAACCTGGGGCTGTGTCCACACTCTGAAGGGTCACTCCGAGTGCGTTAGGAGCTGCAGATTCTCATGGGATGGCCGATGCATTGCTACAGGAGACGACAATGGAGAGATAAGAGTGAGTTTCAGCGAGTTTCTGTAATAAGGATTATTTTAGCTAGTGAACTCTGAATGTTAAGATGTGAGAGGGGCAAATATCAGCAGCAGAAATGACAAGCACAATCTTTCAGCAAGGGGTTAATGCCCTCTGGTGGCCTCCGAGCAGAACTCCTCCATTATCCAGCAATGACTCAATCCATCAAATGCAATTACATAAACCACAATGAAATCTCACCTCTGTTTCTATGGAAACAAATGTGACTCATTTAAAATAAAGGATCTCAATGCCAAAGATAGCAAAAAAAGTTATGGGTCATTGTCAAATAAAATGGCATATTAACAACTGAATTGCATAACCACCAAAGAAGCTGTGTTTATGCGATATAAAGATGTTATAATTTATTACCATATTCTATAATTACTATATGTTAAAGCTTGACTATATTTAAATGGGCTCTAGCTCCAAAAATGGATGCCTATTGCACATTACACACAGGTATGTTTTGTATTAATGTTATTTTATCAGGATTGATGTTACATAATACACTAGTGTTTTATTTGTCACAGCTCTGGAGTGTGACAGATGGCTCTCTGCTGAAGATTTGCTCACGAGAAGGAAAAGATGGTATAGACTCGCTTCATGGCGGCTGGGTGACCGATCTGCACTTCTCACCAGACGACTCTCTCCTCGTTTCAACTGGAGGATACATCAAGGTATGGCTTTAGACGAACACCACAGTTTTACTAGCAGAGAGGAACAAGGCAGTTTTATTTTTTAAATCATTGAGCTTTGTTAATTAATTGTATTGTATCAATGGCATTAATGAGAGGGTGAGGTGTAACACAAAGGCACTAGTGTAGCCTGGGAAGCTGCTTTGGAAAAGGAAGCAGGTTAGATTGTCTGGGACCTAATAATTCTATTCTGTAGTTGGCTGAGTGGTCAGATCGTTTTTTTCTCTCTGTCTCACATATTGTGCAGTCTTACCTACACACTATAGACCCACGTCTGCACCGTATCTAAAATCGCAGCACCAGATACTCTTTGTCTCGTTGATATCATTGGTTTCCACAAATGTGATATGTGTTTGTGTAGTTTATGGCATTTATTTTCGCTGGACATGAGGTCATACCAAGGGCAGTCTTACCAAAGCTCTGATTGGCTGTTCAGCTACAGTGATGTAATCCACTTGAAAAAGCAGTGCTGATCGATGGACATTTATATCTCAGATTACTCCAGTGTTGTGTGTGGGTGTTTGTTGTGTGTGCCTGGTCACAGTTCTTTCATTTATATCTTGCCTCAGTCACTCCACACCAGGGCTTCTGTGAAACATTGACCATACAGTGTTTTGGAGTTTACTCCCCTGCATCAACCACATATTTTTATTATTTTTGCTGTTCATATAAGTTGTTTGAAAGTAGGTTGCCAATTGTTTGATAAATAGTAATTGTAAAGGTTAGAAGTAGTGTGCTCTGTGCACATTCTGTTTCACTATCAATGCATCCAACTTTTTTATCTTGCAAATCATATTTCATGATGCCCATAAGATTCTGAAAAAATCAATACTCAGATACCAATTAATACTCAAACTACTAGCAAATTTAGATACCCATTAAAAATGGAATTACAATTATGACAATAATATGGAGATGCTGAAGGAGATAGAAGTTCTAGAATTACAGAAATCAATTTTTAAAATTGTACTATTGCCATGCTAATTGCCCATATACGATAATTATTCATGTTTTAAATAACACCCTCCTATTTCTAAACATACATCTACACTAATATACATCTACACTTCTGAATGTCACATAGGACATTGGACATTGGAAATTGTACTTTTCATAAGAAGGACGATTTAGCCAAATTTAGAAGATATTGTCCCATAGATGTATGTAATTTGAGCCTGTGTGCCATAATTTAACAAAAATTACTGCATGACTAATAGCCTTAATAATTAGTTAATCAGCTGTGCCTCTATTATGACACTGCTAATTATTTTGGCTGTGCAGATCACTCCATTAGGACAGTTGATTCTCCTTTACTGTCCTCTCCTGAGTCATGTTGATGGTGGATGTGACAAGCAGTGATAGATTATAATGTCTGAAAGCTGAAGCCCTTGTGTCTCAAAGTTTGATTGATGAATGGTCTGCGGTGTGGGCTGGTCAGCTTTGAGAGGCCATCCTGACAGTCATAGTAATTACAGAGAGAGTATGCCTTTCATGACAGGGACAATGATGATAATCTAACTGTCTCTTTATAGAAAAGGTCTGTCTCAGGGTTGAATCAGGAAATGTACTGAAATAAAACTTAGTTAGACCTTGAGCAATACTTGTTAATTAATTCTCTGACAACATAACTGTAAAAGGAATTGTTCAAATAATATATAGGTGGAGGGAGATATACCAAAAAAAAAAAAATTGCTAAATTAAAATATCTAGTAGTATTGTTTATGAATAAAATTATTGAAAATTCCAAAAAAAAAGAACAGATTAAAATTAAAATGAACAGAAGTAATCTCCCAAACATGGGTCTGGTGATATTACTGCACAACCTCAACATTTCCAGGCACATTTTATCACAATCTTGGTGCTTAAAACATAGTGTGATTATTGTTATAGGGATAATGACAAAAGTTATATCTTTTTGCATTATTAGCCTGTAACCCTTATACAATACGGTAAAATAGTAATGTAGACATGCTCAGTCTACTCATTACCCTGGAAAACAACAGCTTGATTGTCATTATATTTCTGTCAATCATCCTCAAAGAAAAGACTCTCAAAAGGATTTGTGCTTATTTTTATTCTTCCTCAGCTGGTGACAAAGCCAGACGTCATGATGTCGGATCAATGGGATTGTGCAAAATGTACACAGTTGGATTATGGAAGAAAATTAAAATTTCTGTCTATCTATGCTATTACTCTTCCTCTATTTTAAGTGATTCTTAAATTAATTACAAAACTAGTGAATAATTATTGTTTATATGTGTTTATAATAAGAAAAGAAAAAAAATAAATAAATGATAAACACAGTTTATGTTCCCTACCTCACACAAAACCATACAAAAAAGTGTATTTACCCATTCTGACAAACAAGTGACCTTTATGGTATCATGATACATGGTAATAAACTAAATAAACTCCAGTATACTGGGTCGGCTATTTAGTTATCAGTAGATGAGGTAGGCTGAAAACATGAATTCCAGTACCATGTAGTGCTCTGTTCTCTCTTCATTTTCTTCTGCTGGAGAGTTCAGTCTCTGTAGGAGTGATTCTCATCCCTTGTCACTAGGTTTATCACCTCTCACCCTTCCCCCATATGTTGAAATGAATGGTGTGAGCATAATTAAAAGCAGCAGGATTCTAGTCTCATGTTGCGTATAAATACTGTACCTGTGCAGTGTTTAATTTATCTTAAAACTCCCCAGTCTTCTTTTCTAATTGATGTGTAAAGGCGTCACAGAATTATGTATGTGTGTACTGTATATTTTCTCATTTAATCATTATATGAAGGGCTTTACACTACATGGTAATTCTAATAATAATGCATTAGATTTATATAGCACCTATCAAGACACCCAAGTGCTTACTTAACGGTTCATTATTCATTCACTCTATAATCGCCATCCACTTGTCATACTGTAGTGATGATGACAAGACCTGCATTTTGTATGGGTTGAAAACAGGAGGCAAAGGTCAAAAGGTTATTTTGTTATCTATTTCATGGTGATACAGGTAGGATCAGTAATCAGTATAACAGAAAGCACACAAGTTTTCCCATATCGTAACCCATGGGTTCAAAATACACATACTCAAAAATCATATAACGTCAACTGAAGTCAAGCTGATATCTATTTAATCTAAGTCAATATTTTTGAACCCCTCAGGCCTTTTTCCTCTTAACTGATCCAGCTGTCAGCCGCTAGAATCTCTTGCCATCTCATCACAGTGAAAAATGTTTCCCTCTGGATAGGCATGCACGCTGAGTTAATTTTTAACGTATTATTTAAGAAAGTGGAAAAAGATGACAACTTCCCGATAAGGTCCCCAAATCTAAGCCATCGTAATGGAAATGAATAATACATAATGTTTGCAGAAAATATCAGATTCTGATTAAATCATTGCATTAAAGATTCAGTTCATAAATACATACCTCATAACATTTCTCTCTCTCTTTCTTTCTCTCTCTCTCTCTCTCTCTCTCTCTCTCTCTCTCTCTCTATCTCTCTATCTATCTATCTATCTATCTATCTATCTATCTATCTATCTATCTATCTATCTATCTATCTATCTATCTATCTATCTATCTATCTATCTATCTATCTATCTATCTATCTATCTATCTATCTATCTATATATCTATATATATATATATATATATATAATTTTATTTTATTTTTTACTAGAGTGTAATGTTGACAGTGACAATCATATACTTGTTTATCAGTGCAGGCGTCTATAATAACACACAAACCCAGCTTAGATGAAATTGGTTTCTCTTTTAACATTTTTACTTGTGCTGTCATGTGACCACTGATGGTAGCTTGACACAAAATCGAAAGTTATTTAAGACCAACACTAAGGCACAAGATTGAGACAACAGTTTGAGACTTGTCCACATGGTTGAGAAAGCATAACATTGTGCATAAGGATTAGACCTGCCACAATAATGTATTCTGAAGCACAATATAGTAGTACAGAGAAATGCAGTGATGAATGAAAACATTTTAACTACTTTATGCCACTGAGACAAAGCAGGATAATCCCAGTAAATCTACTTTTCATCAAACCTATTGTATCATTAAAAGGCCTGAGCTGCAACAAATAAATAGCAGAGTGAACCAAAACTTAGCCAAAGATGTTATTTCTTTGACCCTCTATAGCTCAAATCTTATTGCATTACATAAAAATGGCTAAAATCTCCCTACTACTGTAAAGAAACATACAATGAATATTGAGCCCCAGCTTTCATATATTGAACAATAAATTGGTATAGCAATTATCGATATGACAGGCCTCATTAGGATTCAGTGTAAAAGCATTTCTAAATCAGACGTGCCAGTGGGTAGGTCTGTTTTGCCTGGGTAGCACATATTTAGCACTCTTAGAAGGTTGGGGTTGTTGTAGAAGACCCTCCTCCCCTGCTACCTCTTATGTCACGTACCCGTTACCAGGTGAACCATGATGAACGACAAAGAGAGAAACACAATTTCACCTTATCTCACCTCTGTGTGTGAGAGCTCCCTCCAGACCCACTCCTCCAGCTCCCTACTGGCTGCCTTTCACACCTGCATTTGTTATATTCACACTCTGTCATATTTATATCTGTCCATTTCACTGATCTGATGCCGAAACTGTGCACCCACTCCTGAAGGCAGCATCTGTTTAAGAATTGCATGCCTATATGTCACAATACTTAAAGGGACAGTTAGGAATTTTGGACCTAGGACCTCATTTCCTAGTTAACCAGAATTTTGGAGATGTCTGGAGACACTTTTTAAAATATTTTGTCCAGTCCTTGTATTTTCAGAGGTCACTGGTGCTAGGCTAGCGCATGTCAACGGTTTTATCCACTCCACAAACATATGCAGAGTTTGTGTGTTAAACATGTGTGAATGAAACAAAACACAACTCCAGGTATTTTTGTGGTGAAGAAACATGATAACATAGATCAGAAAAGTAAAGGTGCACTATGTAACTTTTCTGATGGA